ACGCTAGTCTCTGTCACCAAAGAAGGCCTAGAGCTTCCAGAAGATGAGGAAGAAAAAAAGAAGTTGGAGGAAGATAAGGCCAAGTTTGAGAGCTTGTGCCAAGTCATCAAGGATATCTTGGACAAGAGAGTTGAAAAAGTAAGATGGTGTTACTTACTATGTAAGATACTCACTTGTATTCAAGCTATTAGTATTTCATGTAGTAGTTTATTCTTACATGACACAACTTCAATGTTTAATCAAAGGCCTGTTATAACAATAGCTTTTACCTTAACACTTTTTACATTATTAATTAAGTTGTCCCACAAGAGTTACATTTTGTTATTTCATACTATTTGAGTAGTAACATCATTTATTAATATCAGTTTTACTATTACTAAGAGCATAAAATACTGTTACATATCTGCTCGTTTGTTAATTTCTGGTATAAATTCTTTCCGAAGAACTTCAGTGATACAAGTCCTTTCTTAATTAAACCAGTTTATTTTTCCCTTGATACATCTTTGTAATACACAGAAGTTCCAATCAGTACGTTGAACTTAACTTCTTTTACAACACCCGCTGTAAATCACAGTGATTCACACACTTTACTTACGGTGCCTACTGTTCGTTTGACTCAATTATCTATATCTTTGATCTATCTATCTATGCAATTGTGCTGGTTGTTCTCACCAGGCTTATATACTAAAAAAGAGGGTGCCTCAAACAAACTCGAGCCTCCCCTATAATTCATGATCCTTCCAGAAACTACAGTGTGCATTCTACCAGTGTCGCACGACTTCCGCTGTCGTAACAATACCATACTCTACTGTGAGGTTCAAAGCCCACTCGTGATCTCGGATCTAAGTCCACCTCTCAAACTCCTTTATATAACCATAGTTACTTCTATAGCTACCAAATATTAAGATGTCTGTAATATACTAGTTTTTCTGTAGCCAAACATTTTGAAGGCTAAAATCTTTTTTACATTAAGTAAATTTCCCCGTCTGAAGCAGATTTGATGTTAAATTTTTAATCTTGCAAAGTATTCCTATGTAAGATATAAGAAACATGTGTTTATAACTTTTATGCTATATATAGTTACTGATTTTTTTTGTTATTGTTTTCTGGTAGGTGGTTGTATCTAACAGACTTGTAAGTTCCCCTTGTTGTATTGTCACCAGTCAGTATGGTTGGTCAGCTAATATGGAAAGAATTATGAAAGCTCAGGCTCTTAGAGAATCTAGCACCATGGGTTATATGGCTGCCAAAAAACATCTGGAAATTAACCCTGACCATCCTGTCATGGAAAACCTGAGACAGAAGGCAGATGCTGACAAGAATGACAAGTCTGTTAAAGTGAGTATTTTGAACTGTATTAACTGTCTGATGTTAACCATTAAAATACCCATTACTGAAATATTCAAGTCTTTTACATATTAAGAAACTCCTTACATGAACACTAACATAATACACAACATTATTAACTCCAATGTTCAAGAATTTCACAGTTATTTATATAAAAGAATAACTGAGCAACTGCTTATACTCAATCTATCATTAATATACCTCCTTTTACTCTTCAAGTTTCAGTTCATAAGTAAAAGAAAGTAACTTTTAGATTTTTAGTAAACTTTCTCACGAGTTTTTATCATTATGACTACTTCAACATATGTAACTTATTATTAACATTTATTTATGAAATAGTAAATTTTTATGGTCTGTTCAAGTCTTGGAAAAGATAAGATCTCATCATAGCTGCTTAGTGAATTTGTATATCATAATTTTATTTTTTATTTGGAGGCATATCCTCAGTACTTTCAGCCTCAGCACTAGCCATTTCCTCTTCATCAATACCAAGTCCAAGCTTCACCATTCTGTGGATTCTAGAAGCATATTTTTGAGGATCTTCCAGAGAGAAACCAGAGCATAGCAATGCAGTCTCAAATAGCAGCAGTACCAAATCCTGCATGAGGTTTAGAAGGTGATGAGGAAGATGCATCTAAGATGGAAGAAGTAGACTAATACAAGTTTATTTTTATTTCAATGTACATATATTTGAATGTTTGTATATAAGTAAGTTGTTTTTCTTTTTGTAATTCTGATTACTCACTCGCAATAAAGATAATGAATAAAGATCCGTCTGCATTTAAGTATTTGATGTGAAATGTGTAGTGATGAGAATGCAGTGTGAATACAAGTTTATAGTTTCCATACTAAATTGAAGAATGTTAAGTCGGCCTACTTTACAAATTTTAACAGATACAATAAATGTGAAAATATAACATTAATAATTTTTATTTTTTGGATAGTTGTTGATATATTTATATTAGAGTTATATAAACATCTTTTTGGAAAATTTGTTGGAATAGGTAACTCAAATTATTTATTTCTTCCTACCAATTACATTTGATTAAAACCTGATATATTTAATTTCATATTGCCCAGTGTCAATGAGGAAGACCTAAATGTGATATCTTAAAATAAGAAGCTTGTATGATTACTCTGATTTGGATAAGTATTCTAATTAGATGTTTAAAATTAAAAGTTAAGATTAAAAAAAACAATGTATAATTCCATAATATCGTGTCTTGTGGCCAAAAGAACAACCCGCAGGACGTGTGATAGTTTAGCGATTTTCCACCTTCTGTATCTTGGACGGTGGTAAACCAAAATATCACATTTTCCAGTGGATGTGCTCTACTGGACTTTTACTTTATATGCTAAATTTTAAGGCAATCCATTAAGAAAGACCTGAGATGTAACATCTCAAATTTTGATGTTCTTCCTTCGTACCAGAAGTACTGAAACTTTATTTGATAGAAAAACTTAACTTTTATGGATTTTTTCTAATTTGGTACATTGATAGATCTTTACAACCCAGAATTAAGAGCCTCATTTGGTGTAAAAATAAGCCACTTGTACAAAGTTATTCAACATAAACCTCTCAAATTTAACAAATTTTCGCGTATGCCAACACAAAAAATCATGTGAGCTATCGGTCTAGCATTTTTACTACAGCTTCACCTAAAAGTAAAAGTGGATCATTTTAATTTTTTTGTCATTTGGGTTAAAGACATTTAGAGCATCAAAACTATAAGGTGAAAGGATTTGCAGATACACAAGTGTTGGTTAAGCGAAGCAAACTCAATGAGTAGTTTCTAGGTAAAGTTTTTAAAAGAATCATAGTGTGGAAGGTTGTTATCGATTACTCATTACTAACTCTTCAGCACAAATTTACTAAATTTTAGGAAATTATCCCAATTAGGAGTGTTTAACATCACGTGATATTAACTTATGCATTTAGCATAAATAATGATGCTTAATATGCTGTACCAATTGCATGGGGGTGATGACTTCCAGAAGACAGTCAAGGTTGAAGCCACCAATGGATTCACCCGACCATCTATTTATGAAGAACTTCCCCAGCAACAGGATGGCCAATAACAAAAGACAAGACACCATTCCATCTGTATATCCTGGACCTCAAAGGAGAAAAACCACAAAAAAAAACTTGGCAATAGACAATTTAGTGTAGTTTTATTATTTCTTTTTTAATATGATCATTCAAGGGACTTCACAATCCAGGAAGGGGCAATGTTGTAAGCCAGTGGTTCCCAACCTTTTTCCCACCAAGGACCCCTACCAAACAAGCTGTTTTTATTAACTAATAATTAACTCGCTCTCCCAATTTTCACTATCAAATAAAAGACATATTGTTGCGTCAGTGAGGTCACTAGTATCACGCCACGTCCTTCTCGAACCTTCGTGAATTGTTGGGAGACTACTAGATTGGGGGTAGTCTGGTATATATAAGACGGTCACAACATTACGGGAGTGTATGTGTAATTGAACTGAGTATTGTTGAAGTCGAGCACGTGAGACATTCGTTGAGAATTATAGCGCGACTGTTGAAATTAAGTGTATCGAAAAGTTATATTCAGAAAGAATAAACCAGTTTTAGTTAAGAAAGGACTTGTGTCACTAAAGTTTCATCGGAACGAATTTACGGAAAATTAACTAACGAACGGAGGTGTAACAATATATAACTGAGTGTGCAATAAAAAAAACCATCAGTATTAAAAACTTACTTGTTTAATGAGATGGTATTACAAACATGGCTCCCCTGGAAACCACTGTTGTAAGCTGTACTCTTAATTTTGTAATTTAAATGTTAGCTAGAGGAATTTTTAGGTTTTAATGATGATCAAAAGGTTAACAAAATAGGCCAAGAACACCTACAAGAAAGTTCTAAGAGTGTGACAAGCTTTTCTAGCATATTTGAAAGTATATTATATATATGAGACAGTTGATAATGTAGTGTGACCTTCAATATAGAAAGAGTGAATCAGTCTTTGTGTTAACTATTGCAGTTACCAGTTACTTTCTAGTTTGTAGAAACATTAAAGGAGGAAAAAGGTCATCCATTATAATTCACATGGACTGGACTTTTTTACCTGATAATTCTAAAGAACCCACCACCAAGAGAAGTATATTACCACAATATCTTTGATTACAGATTAAGATTCTTCAATTTACCCTTCTATACACAACTGGTCAGTTTTTTTGAGACTCAATGAAACTTTAATCAATTTCTTTGTTTTGAAACAGTTACTGAAATATATGGAAATCAGTTTCCTCAGTTCCTACAAGCCATTGTAACTTTTATGGGGAAAACAGCTCTAAAACTACAAAATGATTTTTTACAGAGCTATAATAAAAGTATAATGGCACATAACCATCACTGACACTTTATTTTTACTTTTTAGTTTTAAAAACATAATATAAAATACATTTGAAAGTGTAATAAAACATGTTTTATACAACAAAGTCAATGTGAAAAATATAATGTTATCACTACTTAAATGGAAAGGAAAAATAACAAAGGCATTTTTACATTCGTATAGAATGCTATATTTCCACTATCTTCAATACTACAGTGAAAGCTTCAGATCAATAAAAATATTTTATAATATGTATTGGTAACCTTCCTAACTCAACCAAACATTTCTCAAAGTGTTTTTATTAAACTGAAGTTTACACCAAAATAGTAAACAGGGTAGTATTTGTAAAATTCTACATTGATGTGCAAAAACATTTATACAAGTGCAGCAAATCCACAACTGTTATTTTCTGATACGTTTCATCCTTTATAGTAAAATCACAGTACACTGTAGGAGTAATTTTCATTCCTTAAATTTCCATTCTTGTCGACACATTGGGCAAAGTTGGTGTACTTGTTGAGAGTTCAACCACTTCATGATACAGTGGATGTGAAAACAGTGAGAACACTGGCCCCACACTATAAAATAATAAAATAGCAAGCACTTTTTACTTAAAAGATTTTAACTGACTAGAAACAACAAAATTGAAATTATTCCTGAAAATATACAAAACAAATAACAGAGAATTAACTAATGCATAATCACTTAAGCATTGAATATTATTATTCTTTAATTTATTGAATTTAGATAAACATATAATAACTTTTTTCATTATATAGAAGCTTTGCTAAAACATTTTCTAAAGGAAAGTTTCAGATACAATTATCACTGTTCTTTCTTTAGTCCAGTTTGTCACAGGTATGTAACATTTACAGGTGAGAGTTCAAGCTAAAAACCGAGGACGTTTATTATCAGTTGTTTATTGATTCATAATTCCTTAAGTCTCAGTTATTTTACATCAGTTCAGTGTTGTCATAGATTCCTCCTTGTTAAATGTTTCAACTAAGCTGCATTTCTGTAAACTTAAAGTTCAAATTAAATACCTCATATTACAAATATAGTTCTAAGTAAGTCATAAAACATAATGTATTTTTCTTTTCAGTGTTTCATATGTTTTTTCGACATTTCAGGGAAAGAATACATAAATAATTTACACAAAATAGAGTAGTATACTTTTATTGCATAAAAAAGGTTATTTTCTATTAAAAAATAAATTTATATAAATAACCTATGATGTATTTCTCATTAAAAAAGTTCTGATAATTTTTAAAAGAAAGCAATTATACAGTTATTTCTTACACCTCTCTATATACTCTAAACTAGAAAATAGAGCAATAAAATATGAGTTTACCACAAAGTATGACTAGTTATTCATTTGCAATGAAATACTACCAAACAATAAAGTCACAGAGTATAGAATTACTAATGAAAAAAAAAAAACTCCACTTCTCACTAAATCAAGAAAAGTTTTGGGATGTAACTTATACAAATGTAGTCAATCCATTTAAACACAAACAAAATCATAAGGGCTAATATAAATTTTAAAAGTATGCCTTTCACCCCTGCTTATCTGCAACTATTACTCAACCTCAACTTGTTTCCTTTTATACTGAATTTTGCCCTACTTGAATCAACCTATGGGTAACATACACTGTAAGTGATCTTATTAATGCAGAAGTCCATTCAAATAAACACTGGAAATATTTTTAATGACTAAAAGAAATTGAGGCTGTACTTTTGGTATTTAAATTGTAGATTTTTTGCAAGATTTTGTATCACTTGGTTCACTTCAACATCTAGTCTGAGCCATATTTCTTGCTTCTTGCCTTTTGCATCACCTGATTCACTTCAATATCTAATCTGAGCATCACTTCGTACTTGCTATGTTTTTCATCAACTGATTCAATTCAAAGCTTCACTTTATGCTTGTTACCTTTTGTACCACCTGATTCACTTCAAAACATAATCTGAGCCACACTTTTGCTTTTTGCACCACATGATCCAATTCAAGACTTAATCTGAGCTTCACTTCCTATCTGATTGCCTTTTGTATCACCTGATTCACTTCAATATCTAATCTGAGCTTCACTTTCTACTTACTGTGTTTTGTATCACCTGATTCATTTCAAAAACTAATGTAAGCTTCATTTCCCATTTTCTGTCTTTGTATCATCTTTATCACTCTTCAAGATCTCACCTATATCATCCATCATTCTTCACAACTTAAATAGCATTTATTTTGTTGGTTCATGGGGATGGCAGGATGGTGTTTGTATGTATATCACTTGACAGCATTAAAACAGAAGCAAAGAAAAAAATTCAAATGAATAAAGTATAGATTTTTTAGAATCCCTCTGGGGCATACCATAAAACCTTGAAAGTATCACAATGACCACAGGTGAGGCAGTTGGAAAATTTGTTTAGATGTGAATTGTTCAACTCTTCTGTTATTCAGAGGTAATAACCTGCAAGGGTTTTGAGTGACCAAAGGAGATCCTAAGACATGGTAGTGACTAACATGAGGAAAAGAGAAGATATTGTGAGGTTATAATGTGAAACTTGATGAAGCTGAAAGTTGATGTTTTCAAACCTGTTCCTGTTTATTGGTTGAACCTAGAGGATGGGTAATGGTCCATTATTCTGGTGATAGACTACCAAGAAAGGTTTGCATGCTGAGATCACTATGTACAGTACATTATGCTAAGTGATGGTTACACCTGCCTGCTGTGGGTCAAGAAATGATGATTTCACATTTGAGTTGTAGCAATAATACTGAAGAGGACTTTCCAACTTAAGTATCATTAGCTTGGCTGTAAATCATGTAAAAAAGTGTAATGTTAGTAAACTGAGTTTTGGACAATTTACTTTTAAATTTGATTGTAGGAAATAGTGATATATAATGGCATATGCTCTTACACTGTACTAAGTAAAAATATTTCCACTTGTTGTGTATGCTGATTAAAAGTTATTTTGATACACTTTCAGTTTTGCATTATTTATAGTTAATGCCAAGCTTCTAGTCCTATACTATGTCTGAAAAAACAAATATATATATATATATGTTGATGAGAAAGTGCTATTAAGATTTCAAATATTAGTATTTGGCTATAATATATACATACAAAAACAATAAAAAGTGGTCCAAACATGATAGGAGGTGGGAAGAAAAAAAACATTATGAAAATATTTTTTAATACCACCATCTTTTTAATTTAGTTTTGAGTTCATAACTGTTAATAATCTGACAACCAGAACACTGAAAGAAATAACAAATATACAACTATTTTAATTCCATGATGAACAATTAATGAAGTACCTAAAGGGCAGTCATCTCCCGGCATCTTACAGTCTGTGCAACACCCATCAAATGGCATTCTACATATTCCACAGTTGTCATCATTGGCAATCCACCTCCAGCTTGCAACACTGGTCCAACCTAAGCCAAAATATATGCTTTACAACTACTTGTACTAAACACATACTACAAGTTTTTTTACATATTTTTTTAACTTTTACAAAATGAAATATATATATATATATATATATGTACAAACAAAAAGAAAAACAGTTGTATTTTTGATACATAATTGAATACAAATTTATAAAATGGCAATACGGTATTACATTATGCAGACAATTAAAATCAAAATACTTAAATCTAAACTAGAATCATGACCTTATCACTTAATCATGGAAACATGACAACAGAAGTCAATAAGTTAATCCAAACTGTGCACAGTTTACTATAATCCACCTATTTAAATATACCCACATGATTAAAATTATACGTAAAAGTTTTAATATTCAATTAAAATCATAAGCATAGAAACACTTAAAAAACTGTAATTACATTATGTAGTTTTTGATCCCTAATATAGTTAAGAAACATTTCAAATACTATAAACACTTGTATTGAATTGTTTCCTTGTTTAAACAAAGGTATAAAACAGGCTATCTGTGCTGTGCCTACAACAGGTATTAAAACTCAGTTCTTTGCATTATAAACCATCAGTCTTACTGCTGAGCCATTGGGGGGAATGCTTTGTAGTATCCCTAATAAGCAGTTTTTTTTAGCTTAAAGATCAAGTAAATATTTACTTTAGGGGAATTAATTAACATCAATTTACAAAATTTTAATACAAATCCTAACATTATTCATTTGCTTTAAATAGAAATTAGATTTTAAACTTGTTATAGCCAATACAATAATAATAGAAAAACTGTTACACTCAGTTAGATGGTTAAAATGTATAATAAAAAAGATGGTGGTACACATCCAACACATACATTAATATTCCTAACTGGTTGGGTAGTGTAGGCTAACCACAGTTCAATAGTTCACCTTAGGCTTTTTATACTTGCACTGTTTCATTGAAGTCTTAAGTGAAAGTAAATGTATTTTTCTGACAAAAGAAGAAGCACACTACAGAAATCCTAACACTTGATAGTGTTGTTTGTTTACTGAAATTATTATACCAAGTAAAATTGTGAACTGCTATTGTATAAAGTACTGCAACAGTTAGCACTGTAATATCATTTAACAAGTATAAGGCTCTTGAATGTTTTCTGAAAATAAAGTGATTAAAAGGCACTTAACTAATATTGGAGCTTTCCTTCAGAAAATTATATTTGAAATGTACATACTAATGTGTAATTATCAAAGATTACTTATACGGTAACAGTGAAGTTGTAATCTGTTCGAGCCTTGATACTTCAGTTCATTTATAGTTGTCGTATAGGAATATAACATAGGTTTCTTTCTCTCTGTAGTATTATTACGGATTCTAAATATGTGCAGGTTTCACATAACACGTGGTCAGTAAAACAGTTAATCTAATACTGTTGAGTTATCTTTGTTCCTTTATTGTTTTCAAAGTTAGTAATACCTGTTACTACTCATAAAGGACATGGCTTACAGTGACTTTATTTCAGGAAGCTGATAGCAGTGTTCTCCAGTGGCTGTGCAGGTAATACATAGAGGTTTAAGCCACACCTACTTGGAATGAGAATGACCAGTTATATGATAGTGCTTGTCTCCTTGGGTAAATACAAGGTTTCTTTGAAGCTAGAGACCTTGCATTCAGATAGTCTTGACCTATCTTCATTGAGTCTTCAACAACAGAAACTTTGTAAAGAAGCAACAGTCCATCATAAGCAAGTACACACACATTGTGTTTTTGTCTTAATCATTAATAAAGACTGTTTTCATTGAGTTTTACACTTTAATCTCGTTTGTTCATTCTTTAATACCATACCTTGATTGAATCTTCTGTTTGGTAGACTTATCTGATATAGCTCTATGTAAATCCAGTTCATCTGAATATACCATCGAACATGTGCTGGATTCAAGTCCCTATTACCTACATGTACTTCCACAATGCTGAAATGTGAGCTTTAAATTTTTTGTTGATACTTAGAATTCATGTATATATATATATACATTTTATTTATTTCATTAAAATATCTCAAACACTTTTGATTTATAAAATCAGTTGTTTCTAAGTATAACACTCAATTTTTGCACTTGGTTACCCAATCTCCTCACTTCCACTATATGATTTAAATTAAGCTTTTCCACTTAAAAGTTGTTGATAAACAATATTAACAAAACGTTATGATGAAAACAAAGTTATGATAAAATATTAAATATTGGGTATATATTTCACTTTGACAAGTGTGTGTGTCTACACTTATAACTGGCAAATTACTGGACTGATTGTCATCAAATGTGTACCTTTAGCAGCCCCATGTAAATGACATAGAAGATTAGCATTCAGATCTGACACCCTATGTTGTCCCTGTGTGTACATCAGCTAGATTACACTAATTTTCACAAACTAATTATTGCAACACCAAACACTTGCCACAAAAGTATTTTCTGCAGCTGACAAATGCACGTGACAAAAATAAAGACATGAGAAAATAATTTACTACATTGCCTGTACATCCTATTGGAATAAACCAAGATCATGAGCAACACATATATGTACAATGGTAACTAGCTCTGAGACAAGCCAGTTTAATAAGGAAGACTAGGGAACAAAAACTATGTAGGTTCAAATATGATTACAAAGTCTCAGAACATATCTATTACAAAATAAATTCTATTACAAAAAAATGCAGACTAAAGTGAGATTCTGTCTACTGGGGAGATTAGCATTTTAAGCTAGCAAATGGAACTAGCAGGACTCACAGAGTTAGAAGGTAAAGAAAATTAACACTAACAGAACAACATTGATTCATTCCTTAAAAAATACTGGAGGTCAAAGGTGCTATGGTGCTTATAAACTTCTCTGAGGGGGATGCAATCTGTAAAAATCCTATGTAAGAAATACAGAACCATGGAAATTACTGGCATATGATAAAATAAACCACAAATGCACATTGCTAATCTTAACTTGTATTTTATGTATTATGAAATACTTAACTAATCTTAAAATATTAGAGTTTACTGTTAGTTTATAGTAAAATATAATATTTATTAGATATACAACATTTAAACAACAATTATAAAGAAATCATTTAATCATCAAAACAATTATTTTATAATTTTTCTCAGTGAATCAAATCACAACTTGCATATTCTAGATAAGGAAGTAAAAACGTTTATGACGAAGTGAAATTCAAACAGGACATAATTTTACAATTTTTGTAATAATGTACATATTAGTTGCAACCACACAAAATATCAATGGTCCAAATAATGTGTATGCTTTACAAGTTAATTAACTTCAAAACTTAAGTACTGTAACTTTGTTTCATAATTTCTACCTAGAAAAATGCATATCTCATAAACATCAGAGCAGTTTATAATTTCTGTGTTCACAAATTTAGCACATACACAACTTCTTAAAGAATTATAGACTTCGTGTCACACTGTTAGGTGTAGGCAAGTGACACCTCCACATATGAATATACCATGCATTTATATCTTGTATTATTATATCATTTATTCTGCACATAAGCAGATTTCACATAAAATATAGTTGAGGAAGCCGTTGATTTTATCCTAGCTTCATTTGTTGTTCTCAAATAAATAACACCTGTTCTGCCAGTGTGAAGGTATTGTTGAAATATTGAACACTGTGCAAAAATTTTGACAGCAGTGTCCTTTAATGGTAGTACTGGTGATTTCTTGAGGTAATGGATTCACCTGTGTGTTAATGGGAATAACCAGTCACATGAGCAGCAGTAGTTGCTCTGGGTAAATATAATGTTTCTTACAAAGTAAAGAATGCTGGAATCAGTCAATCTGGTACACGGATTCAATCTAAACAGTTGAAGGTAAAAGATCTAGTAAAAGTGCCCATCCCATGTAAATAAAGCAGGTACACACACTGTGTTTGGTTTTACATGTGATTTAATAAAAATTGTTCATTTTGTGTTCTGTCTATTTATTTCATCCATTCTTGTGCCTCTGTTACTCATAGACATAGCACTAATTTGGAAACAGAGTCTTGACCAAATCTCCTGTTATCAAGCAGACCTTCCCATTGCTCTGAAATTATTCAGTCTGACCTAGATATACAGCACATATAAAATCATATTTCACTTAATGACGTATACACATACTGTAAATGATCTTGATCTGGGGTTCAAATTTAGTTTAAGTATAAGCTGTTCAAAAATGAGAGAAACTAGTAGAAACAAATTGCAATAATGACTAATAAATTAAGAAGCAATTAACCAGTAAAGATATAAAGCTTTGTTATTGAGAAAACAAGATATCTGAAAAACAGAGAACTGCTGATATGACTCCCATTATATTTTCACACAGATTTTAATAAACTGTTTATGCACCAAATGCTTGTAACTCTATGATTTTGTTGTTTACAGATTCCCTAATAACACAAGAGTCACACAAAACATTTAAACAAAATATTCCATTAATATTGCAATTAGTCTCATCAATTACATCTGGGTTTTTCTATGTATTCTACATAGAAAATGAGCAATTTTACCCAATATTTTAAGTCATTTTCTTACACTGAGTGTTGTAACAGGCAAAAACAAAATTACTCAATATGATGCAATATGTAAAGAATTCAGTAATATGAGAGTCACTGACTGTGCTATCTTTGTCAAGCACTTATGAGATAATTTTCTTGCCATGAAATCAAAACTATTTAAAGTATTCACATTATTTCATTTTCATAGGATAACATGGGTCTACTTGACATATCAAGGCCATCCCATTTTCTACTACCACTCACTCCAAATATCATAAAAAAAGCTCCCTCTTCTAATATTCAACCCTGACTTCTAAAGTAATTACCTAGTCTTTTATTCAACTACTTCAATGTAACAACTTCTACAATTCCTAAAGGTAAGGTATTTCATACAGCCATAATATTGTGAGGTAAGTACCCTAACCACTAGTCTTACTGCTCACAGAATATTATATGGAAACATCATTTGGATCTCTGGATCCAAACCTCTAAGAATCTTAAAAATCTCAATCATGTCCTCTCTTAGAGAAAGCAAAAAGTTGTTATTAATGAAGTTCAGTCAAAGACATTGTACCTATTGGCATGCATAGATATCAGTGTTTGGATCTTTCCTTTTTCTTATTTAGACTGATGATACTGATAGAGGTATAATCAGTAAAATTAATAAAGTTTGCTGATGAGATTAAACTTGCAATTACCAATCAGGTCTGTGGACCCCAGTGAATTTTTAAAAACATTTTTCTAAAGTATTTATGTATGAAATGGCTTGTATGTCCTTAACCTTTTGCTTGTAAGGTCCTTAATAACATATGACTCACAAAAAATTAAACTAAATACTAATGATATTACAATTACTCCCATTAATTATTGCAAATTCTTCACACTAACAGTTATAACAAGCAAAAACATAAAATTACTCAATATGATAAAATATGCGTACTCCACTCGTGTCAAACAGTATACAAAGATAAACATGTCTGTAATTTTAAGGTTAAACTTTTGTATATTTCTAGTAGTACTGAGGATGTTGACGTACTACTGTATGACTTGGATTAACTGATAAGTTGGACAAACAGTTGGCAAATAAGGTTTAATTATAATAAGTGCAAGGTATGAATTTGGATTATCAGACTTTGGATCAAATGTTTTATATATATATTAAGTAAAGGATCTTGGCATAATGGTAGCAGATCACTCAAGGCAGTAATTTGTTATTAGTAGTAAAGCTAAAAGAACTTTAGGAAGTACATGTAGTTATAAATATACTGATAACAAGTCAACAGATGTAATTCTTTCTTCATACAAATCACTAGTTATTCCTCACTTGTAATATTTTATACAGGTCCTTATCTAAGAGTAAAAAAAGGAACTGTCTTATAGAAAAGGTTTGTTTACTTGCTGGATTTCATGCAGAGCTATACAAGGGCTATTTGCACTCAGCATCCCTAATTTGAAAGTGATATACTAGAAGAAAGGCAGATAGCCAATCTTTGAGCTACTGTTACCTGCAGATAGTGGGGTTGATTTTCATACACCTCCATGGCTGAAAAAGGAAGTAAGTTCGGTATTAGGCTTCAATCCAGTGACCTGAAGATTGCGAGTCAAACTCCCTAACTACCAGGCTATTAGAAAGGACATACAGGATGGCTCCTATAGTGATTTTGAGGATGGGTCATCATATGGGAATTAAGATTTCTTATTTTACCCAAACAAAAAGAAGGGTGAGAATTGATCTTACTAAAGTTCACAAGACCTTCTATAGGACCAGTAAAATAAATGCTTCCAATTTCTTTATACTAGATTCTGAAGATAACAGAATGACAGGACATAAGTTTAAGATCTAGAAAAGACAGTGTAGGATCCACTTAAGTCAGTTATATTTTTCCAATAGGACAGTTAGCTTATGTAATGAGTTGCCATCAGTAACAGTGGAGGCTAGCAATTTACGAGAGGAATTGGTGATTTCCTTAAAAATAAAGTATGAGTTCAACTTATACTTTTCTCATGGGTGATTGTGCAGGACCAAATGGTCTTTTGTTGATCATATGTTACCCTCATATGATAATTCCTTCAGTTTAATCCAAGCATATAATCATCCTGGTAACTCTTTTCTGAACCCTCTAACAGTAAAAATGTTTCTTAATTAAATAAGATGACCAAAACTGAACACAATATTCCAATATTATTCATACTTAATCGATGGAATAACATTATTTATTACTTATTAGCAATTACAATTTACAAGTACGTTTATTGGGATCAAGATATAATGTGTTATTTCTGATCAGAGGGATAATACTTTAAATTTTAATAGTATATCATAACTGATAATATCTACTAACTCATTTCTTCTATTCTGACGTTAATGGCATTATAAAACTGTTAATTTACAGTGTTGTGTAGCCTGCAATTTGTAAGTGTAAGCCTACAGTCTACAATTTACAAAGTACATGTTACAAGAGCCCGAAGTGAAGAGGTCAGAGTCGAACTCTCAGTCTTGCACCAAAATAATAATACTATAGTAATACATTGTTTAGCCTGATGAAGCATATGATTTAAATGTATCACTTCAAGTTCAACAAATAACGTATTTTATAAACTGAGCATTTAATAAGTATAATAATGCTATATTACATTAATACTAACAGTCTAATGTTTGATCATTGTAATCACTGACAGACAATGTATCTACGCTAATATATATATATAAACACTTACTTTTAATCACAACTTTCATGTTTAACGTTAGTTACAATTCGTAACACGATAACACTGATGAAATAAAACTTAGATCTCCGTGATACTACTAAATTTCAACTTTCGTTCACTGCATAAAAGCAGTTTTTGAAAACATCACAATTCCGTAAAATAATAAAAAACATATTGTGTCTCTTATTAAAAAATATGTCAAGAAAGACTAATTTATAAACACGATTTATTGATTATGACAGTATATCTTGATATTCGAAAAAACAGCTGTTACTTCTAGAAAAACGCAATTAATTTTATATTTTTGTTTTAGTCTTTCATTCAAATTCTGCCTTATGTTGGCTTATAAATTAAACTGCTAATGAAAGTACTGTTACGTCTCCGTGTGTTAATTAATTTTCCGTAACTTCGTTC